ATTTTTTTTAAAAAAATCTTACTCTTCATAACAACTTCGGGGTCTTTTATTTATATTATTTCCAAGTTCCACAAAAAAAGAGGAATATTTATCCAGGGCATTAAAATATCTTCCTGTGCTGATGTCTTTGGCAGAGGAACGAATGGTATGTTTGCTTTTCTGTGGGATAAATGCCCTTTTTGGCCCTTCACTCTTAGCGCAAATTAAACTATTGTTTAATTTTCAGTTCATCTTTTGAAGGCTAAATGTTCCGAGCACTGTTAATACTGGATTAATTTTTAAACTCACAAATCAATCTAGTTCTTTATATAAATATTTTACCAACCACATTATAAATATTGTGGCTGCTCAAAAAAGGGGAACCCTTCAATGGGCAGATCTTGAGAAGATTTGAGGGTTGTTCGGAAGAGAAAACCCATGTGGAAAAATGCTTCCTAACCAAATAATGCTGAACAAAAACCACAAATGGACGTTACACAGATAGAGTAGAGAGAGGGAATGTCATCCTTTGACACACTAACGTGCAACGAGAGATGCTTTTGGAGAATACAAGATGGTTGGGCACTTTTGAACCTCATCTGCTCAACCAATGGGTCCTTGGGGACTCCGTTTGTGGCTCCCCACTGTTATAAAGCAAGGAAGAAAGCACCTGCTTTGAAATAGCCCCCCTCCCCCCCAATGATCAGTTACAATACAGGTGGACGTCTGTAAGCTATTAGTTTGGAAAACCTTTCTGTACTGGAAGGGGTGTCAGATAGATCGTTGTACTTTAAATACTTGGTTGGTTCATATGATGGATGTATATTATTAATGAATTAAATTCGTACATTGCCCGACTCCCAGCAGCCCCATGTGATTCACTTATAGATATCTGGTAAACTGTTATGAATCATTTTTACTGCAGCAGCTGTAAATTAAAAAAAAAATGAATCAATCAATCCCAGATTCTTAGGCCTCCCTGTCTCCAATTTCCAGTTAAAACTCAGAGAAGTAAATCAGATTCTTTTGGGAGCATTTGGCTGCCTGCTGTATTGCTTCTAAACTTGCAACTTGGGAATAGCAAATCAGGTTTCTGCCGATGTCTCAGCATAGGTTGTGCATGTGCCAAAGGAATCCTTAATGTCATTTTCTGAAAGGAGCAGACACAATCACAATGGTTCTTCAGTTTGGGTGCTTCTTCAACAGGGACCTTGGAGGTCTTTCTCACACACCGTCACTTTCACAAAGCAGAAGTTAAACAGAAAGTCTTAAGCAAAGGCAACTCCCTGGAAAATAGATGGTTGCAGGGAGGACCACCAAGTCACTCCATCAAAACTAGAGATAGAACTAAGGCATGTAAAGCCAGAGGGATCTGGGAGGCTCGATAATCTTTCACTCTACAAACTCACGAAAGATACATCCATGGGTTGATTTATGCAAAGAATAAGAAACTGTACTACATTGAGCAAGTGAACAACCAATAGTCAAGAGAAACTCCACTGTGAACGTCTGGGAAGAACCTAAGAAAATGACAGAGAAGAAAACAGAGTGAGAGAAGCAATGATTTTATGGCTTCCAACCGTAAGAAAGTCCACTCAATGATCCTTTCACCTTTAGGAGGTTTAGTTTTTTGAGGATTGCCGACAATTTCTAAGCCTAGATGCACTGAAATAGGCTATTGAAATAGAAGGCTAAATCATATTTCGTCATTCTTCTCAGGCCAACAGGACATGGTACTGCTGACTAATCCCTCCATTTAGATATTAACATATAGAGCCTTATTGTTCTCCCTTTCAGAGAAAGCATAGTAATTCCCTCAGCATGTGGTGGGAGCCTGTCGCATAATCAGGTCAGCCCTTCAGCTTCTGAAAGTCAGCTGCAGAGGGAAAGTTGCTTCTCCGGTCTTTCAGATTCTAGGGTTCTGGAACAGCAGGTACAATTGAGTGATGCACAAAGAGCCCAAGTCTTCTAGCATCACCTAAAATCTTGTGGGATGAGAGTTGAACATCACTGACCAGAAAAAGGACCTTGGCGTCAAGTTGGGGAATCATAGACTCCTAGGGCCTGTAGGGTCCTCAGAGGTCTTCCTTGCCTGCCCAAGGCAAGAGTTCTTATACCATCCCGGACAAATGCTTGTCCAGTCTTTTCTTGAAAACCTCCAAAGAAGGTGACAAGAAGGACAAGAGTCAGCTGATGGTCAAGTGGCAAATTTATGCTGGGAGTCATTGAACAAAGAATTGGAATTTAAAAGTTCTGATTAAAATAATGGTTGTGACCACACCAAAAATTCTTAGGATAATTGTGGCCACTATCTCTTAGACTCTTTATTACAACTAGAAAATAAGAGCAAGGCTTTTTGAGCAAATCCAAGGTTTATGGCAGCTCTTGGCCTTGTCCTCCCCAAAGGCTGCTCCCTCCAGCTCCCTCCTGCAATGCCAAGAGTTTCAGGGTGAGGACGCTCCTGCTCAGTGTCCACATTACAGTATCCCAAGGTAGCTGTTGTCCAGCCTCCACTTGAACACAAGGAAGAGGAACAACGGGCTCTCTTGCTTTATTGTTATCTGGACTCATATCCGAAGCAGAACTGTGAAGGTTCTAGGACAGGGAAGCTCTTTTGCTTCTTTCCATCATGCATCACTGCTAATTGTCCAAACTGGCTGCACAGGTTATGTTGATGGGCTCACATAGTCATGTATGAATATTTCATCAGACGACTGGGAAACTCAGTACTTCCCTTCAGAGTTTCAATTGGAATCCAAGCGGTGGATTTTGAAATGAAATTGCATAATTTACTCAGCTCTCAGTTTTCCCTCTATCATTTTTTTTAATGCTTTTTACCCTGGAGATAGTTCATGCATCTGATGGCTTGCAATCCATCTATGTTTCTGCCATCCCACACAGAATTAGGGAAGGTTAGGTTGCAAAGGATCTGGGAGATCATTTTGCCCAATCTACCTCCCCAACAGTTGGCCATCTGGCTTCTCTTTATATATCTCAGGGAAGGAGAAACTGCCAATGTTCCAGGAAGCCTGTTCTATTGTTGAATGGCCCTAACCATTAGGAGATTATTTCCTTGTAATTTAAACACTTCATTTCTTGTCCTGACTCTGGAAATGACTCCAAACCATTTTGCGGATGTTTACATGACAGCCTTCAGACACAAGAAGGCAACGGGGATATCTGCCAGGATATTCCTGCCAAGATTTCTAGCTAGTTTTCCACCTTGCAGGCTCTGAATCATCTTGGTTGCTTCCTCAATGCCATTTCCTAAATGGGATACTCCATAGTGGACACAGAGATGGTTTGAAATTGCAAAGTCATAAGATGTTTTCTGCATCTTAATGCTTTATTTCTATTGAGGAAGTTTAGGATTGCCTTGATTTTATTACTTTTCGCAACTGCAGTGTTAGCTTATTAAAAAATTAATGAATGTAAATAATTTTACAACTGCCCAACCTGTATTTGCCACTCTAGGCAAGTAACATACCCTTGAATAACAGACTAAAACTAAAACAATTATGCAATACAAGGCAGTACAAACTAGTCCAAAATTACATCATGTTCAGAATCCCCGACCATTTTCCAGATGGGTCAGACAACATCCTAACCTCAAGGGTCTGCTTGCCTGAGACTCTTGCCTCGTTCTATGCCATGGTCATACAGGGACCACACTTAACAACCTGAGTCCTGAGGTTACAATGGCAACTGGGACTGCTGGGAGTTCCATCACTTAACGAAGTAGACACATGACTTCATACTTGACGAGCACATCACTTAGTGACTCCTGGCTCCAATTGCTTTCATAATCTGAGAACTTCTGTCCTCTCTGGCACTAAATCAGACAGGCAGAAGAAACACAAATGGTGGGAACCTCTTGATAGTCAAACCAGAGCTTAGTTAAGTCAGGGAAACGAGCCATTTGGTAGGACTTCCTGGAAAGCAATTTTAGAGGGGAAGAAGATCCAAAGAGGCTATGAACATTTGAAGAACAGTTAGAGGAACTAGGTTTAACTAGTCTAGTGAAAAGAAGGAGTGACATAATAGCAGAGTTCCAATATTTGAAGGCTTGCCCCAAAGAAGAGTGGGTCAACCTATTCTCCAAAGTATATATGAAGGCAAGACAAGAAGCAATGGATGGAAACTAATCAACCTAGAATTAAGAAGAAATTTCCTGACCATTAGAATAATTAACCAATGGAACAGCTGGCCTTCAGAAGTTGTGGGTACTCCATCAATGGAGGTTTTTAAGAAGACACACTTGTCTGAAATATTATAGGGCAGTGCTGAAATCTAAAATTTGTTACTACTGGTTCTGTGGGCATGGCTTGACGGTGATGGTGGGGGTAATGTGAATGGGTGGGCATGGCCATTTTTTTTTTTTACTTTTAAAACCAGTTTTTCTGCAACCTCTTCGGTGAAGAAGTTGTAAAAAATGCTTTCAAAAGCCTCTGACGATCCCAGCTGAGCCGCGTGATCGTCAGAGGCTTTTTTTTTAACTTTTAAAAGCATTTTTTGGGCTGAAGAGGTTGTAGAAAAAATGCTTTTAAAACTAAAAAAAAAGCCTCTGATGATTGTGTGGCTCAGCTGGGCATTGGTGGTGGTGGGGGCAGGGATTTTTGCTACTGGTTCTCCGAACCACCCGCCTCCATCACTACTGGATCAGGCAATCCGGTCCGAACTGGGAGTATTTCACCCCTGGTATAGGGTCTCCTCCTTGAGCAGGGGGTTGGACTAGAAGACCTCCAAGTTCCCTTCCAATTCTGTTATTCTGAACAGTGCTGCAAGGCCTGGAGCAATTAAATTCTTATGTTTTTCCACAAGCACATGTAGTTTGTGAACCCTCTTTGAGGCATTCTCCAGAGTAATCCCTTCCTTCTCTTGATCCCCCATTTCTTAGTCAAATAAACATCTCCCTCCTGCCTGGGTGACCTCTCTCTCTCCTCCCTTCACACAGCCCCTGCCTTGGGTCTCCAGGGCAGCTGACAGTTGACCTTCCCTGCTGAAGGATTTTGGGGCTTTGCTGAGAGGTGATGACATTTTGCTCAGGACACTGAAATTAAGCAGCTGCTCCTGGCTGAGCTCTTGGACTCCAACCACACAGCCCGGATGGGTAAGAGAGCCTTTCCATTAACATTTATAGCTCTGTGATCATTAATGTTGGCGGAAGGTATGTCTGAATGGGGCATCTTCAATGATAATTGGAAAGTAATCCTTCCAGGTCAGAAAGTCAGTATGGTGCAGGGGTTAAAGCACCAGGCTACAAACCAGCAGGCCATGAGTTCTAGTCCCTCTTTATACACAGAGACAGCTGGGCCAGTCACTTAACAAAATGACAGGCTGGAAGGGACCTTGGAGGCTTTCTAGTCCAACTCTCTGCTCAAGTAGGAAACCCTATACCATTTCAGACAAATGGCTGTCCAATCTCTTTTTAAAAATCTCCAATGATGGAGTGGCCACAACTTCTGAAGGCCAGCTGAAGGCCACCGGCTGATTGTTCTGTCAGGAAATTTCTCCTTAGTTCTAGGTTGATTGGTTTCCACCCATTGCTTCTTGTCTTCCAGGAAGGCCCCTGGAACCAAGAAATCCAAAATATCCATGCCTTGCAAATGTGGGTGAGGAGCAATGGGGCTACTCTGTCCACTTCATCTCCTCCTTCCTGCTTGTTGAGCATGAACATCTAGAGGCATGGATGTGCCATCTTATTAGTGTTTCCCATTATGCAGCAGATTCTGCTACCCAAGCACACAGAAATAACCTTAAGAAAGGATTTATGCAGGATCACTTGTAATTTGGGGCGGAGAAGCTTCTTTAACCAAAGAGACAATTTTTTAATGCTCAGTATTTGTCCACCAGACTGATACTCCACCAGAGTTGCCGCAGAACTTCCCTTCCACTTCTAGAGTTTTATGGCAGGCTTTTTTTTTTTTAAATTTGATTTATATGCCGCCTTTCTCCGGAGACTCAGGGCAGCTTATAATGCGTTAAGCAATAGCCTTCATCCTTTTGTATATTTATACAAAGTCAGCTTATTGCCCCCAAACTGGGTCCTCAATTTACCTACCTTAGAAAGGATGGAAGGCTGAGTCAACCTTGAGCCTGGCGAGATTCGAACCTGCAGTAATTGCAGGCAGCTGGTCCAGCTTTAAACCTGGATCTCCACTCCTAATGAGCCCTGGTGGTGCAGTGGTTAGAATGCAGTATTGCAGGCTAATTCAGCTCACTGCCAGGAGTTGAGTCCTCACCGTCTCAAGGTTGACCCAGCCTTCCATCCTCCCAAGGTCAGTAAAATTAGGACCCAGATTGTTGGGATCAATACGCTGATTCTGTAAACTGCTCAGAGAGAGCTATAAAGCACTATAAAGCAGTATATAAGTCTAAGTACTACTGCTATTGCTATTGTGAGGTCTTCTCCAATACTGCAATCGTTTTGATTCCTTTTTAAAAATTGATTTTACACTTTTTAACACTAGCAACCCCTAGTAGTTCTCAATAGTTGTAAGAAGCCTCCTGGAAACCTTTCCTTCTGCTGTGGTGTCCTGGGCAAAGGATTGTGGAAGAGGGGAGCTGGCTAAAAGCTGGAGGCTACACCGGATTCTCTGATCAGCCAGTCTCCGTTGTAACATCTCTCAGGCCAACAAGAGAAACAGTTCCTTGCTTTTTCTGGCTGTGGCTCTGTTGATCTGGGCCTCTTTTCTTTCTCTTTGGGGCCTCCTCCTCCTCCACCTCTTCCTTCCAGTAACCTCCATGAGAAGGAACAGAAAGAAACGTCTACAGATTGCAATCTTTCTGCCAACGTAGGTAAGAATGTTCATAAGCAATTGTTACTGGGTGGGAGGAAGGCAGAATTATATTTCACACCCAAATATGCACTCATGTAATTTAGAGTGGGGGGAGGAATCCTTGAAATGGGCAAATTACCACCGAGGAGGATGGAAGGGCCATTAGAAATGTGAGATTTCTTTGACAGTTTTTTTTAACCAGCTAAAGTGATCTAAGGCGTTTAACTTTGATTTATGACTAAATAAATATGGTTAAATAAAGGCAGTTTTCTCACTATTAAACTCAATTGTCACCTTTCACAGAAATGATAATGATGATTGCATTTCATGGCAAGGTTTGTGATGTTTCCAGATGATCTCAGCCATAAGTCAGTCCCCATAATTTTGAGGTTTCGGGACTCAAGATAGCCTGGTTCTTGGTAGACTTGTGCAGAGGTGCCAGACTAAATAACAGAATAATAGAATAACAGATTTGGAAGGGATCTTGGAGATCTTCTAATCCAACCTCTTGCTCAAGCAGGAAACCCTATACCATTTCAGACAAATGAGCCTTGGTAGTACAGTGGTTTAAAGCACCCTGTTATTAACACAGCTGCCTGCAATTACTGCAGGTTCGAATCTTACCAGGCTCAAGGTTGACTCAGCCTTCCATCCTTTCTAAGGTAGGTAAATTGAGGACCCAGTTGTGGGGGCAATAAGCTGACTTTGTATAAATATACAAAAGTATGAAGGCTATTGCTTAACGCATTGTAAGCCGCCCTGAGTCTCCGGAGAAGGGCGGCATATAAATCAAATTAAAAAAAAAAAAAAAAAGGCTGTCCAATCTCTTCTTAAAAACCTCCAGTAATGGAGCATTCACCTACTTTTGGAGGCAAATCATTCCACTGATTAATTGTTCTCATTGTCAGGAATTTTCTCCTTAGTTTTAGGTTGCTTCTCTCCTTGATTAGTTACCATTAATTGTTTCTTGTCCTATTCTCTGGTGCTTTGGAAAATAGGTTGTCTCCCAAGTTCTAAAGACAGCTGCTTAGATATTGGAACTCTATCATGTCACCCCTAGTCCTTCTTTTCTCTAGACTAGACATACCAAATTCCTGCAACCATTCTTCATAAGTTTTAGCCTTCCAGGCTGGATCCTCAGTGTTGGAAACTGCTTGAATGGCCTTGACCCAGCTTAGCTGTGCTTGTTCAAACTCATTCCTGAATCTACAGCACATTTTAGGAAGCTTGAGTACCCTCCCTAGGATGGGGAGGGGAACCTCCAGGGATAATTTTTGGGGTCAGTGTAAGTGTAACACTGTCTATGGTGAATAACAGGCAGGCAAGCACAGGCTTCAGTAGACCTTGGGGGGTGGAGGCAAGGAAGGCTGGAGCCCAGATAACAGGCCATTCCTAAGTAGAGATTAAGGAGCACAACTGGAAACGACCTCAATGGGGAAAAACATGGAGCAGGAAAAACATCTCAGCAGGAGATGTCAACATGGCTACTGCATGAAAAGAGGCATCCAGGAAATTCTTCAAGGTTGAACTTCCACCCTTTGCTCCTTGTCTTGTCCTCAGGTGATTTGGAGAATAGGTTGACTCCCTCTTCTTTCTGACAGCTCCTCAAGTATTGGAAGACTGCTTCCAATACTTTCCTGAGCCTTCTCTTTATTAGGCTAAACATACTGTAACTAGTCCCCTTAGCTGCTCACCATACGATTTAGCCTCCAGGCCCCCAATCTTCTTTCTTGCTCTTCTCTACAGTCTTTCCAGCGGGGCCCTGTTGATGTAGCCTAGGACTGCACTGACTTTTTTGGCAACTGCAGTGCATCCAGTTTTGGACACCACATTACAAAAAAGATGTTGAGGCTTTGGAAAAAATGCAAAGAAGAGCAACTAAGATGATTAAGGGTCCGAAGACAAAAATATATGAAAAATGGTTGCTGGAATTGGGTCTGGCCAGTCTAGAGAAAAGAAGGACTGATAGTGGTGACTTGACAGCAGTGTCCCAGTATTTGAGAGGCTGCCACAAAGAAGAGGGGGTCAACCTATTCTACAAAGCACCTGAAGACAGAACAAGAAACAATGGATGGAAACGAATCAAGGAGAGGCGTAACCTGGAATTGCGGAGAAACTTCCTAACAGTGAGGACAATTAACCAGTGGAACAGCTGGCCTCCAGAAATCGTGGGCGCTCCATCACTGGAGGTTTTTAAGAAAAAACTGGACATCCACCTATCTGAAATATTATAGGGATGTCTAACCTTTTCTGAACCGAGTGCCCAAAGCACGCGTGCATGTGTACAAATGTGCATGCATGCCCCCGAACCCCCAAATTGTAAGGCGTGCAGCCCCTGTGTATGTGCCCCACCCCCTGCAAAAGTATGCCCCCACCACACATGCCCCACCCCCAGCGCATGTGGGCCGAGACGTGAAGACCAGCTGGCCGGCGGGAGGTGTGCATGCATGCGCAGCAGAGCTGAACTGGGGCGACAGCTCATGTGCCATCCGAGAGGCATACCATAGGGTTGCCATCACGGTTATGGGGTCTCCTGCTTGAGCAGGGGATTCGACTAGAAGACTTCCAAGGTCTTTTCAGCTCTACTCTGATTGATTGATTGACTATTGGCTGATACTTAAGTGGTTGTCCACCAGGACTCATAAATCCTTCCCACAGTTACTACTGTTGATCCAGGTACCTATGCATTTTGTGCAGGACTTTACATTTTTCACCACTGAACTGCATTTTGTTAGATGGGGTCCAATTCTCAAGTCTGTCAAATTCCTTCTGAATCTTGAGTCTATCTTACAAAGCGTTGGCAGTTTCCCTTAGCTTGGTGTCATCCGCAAATTTGATGAGTTCCCCTTCTATCCGCTCATCTAATAATTTATGAAAATGTTGAACAGCGCCAGGCCCAAAACAGACCTTGGGATATCCCACTGCATGCTTCCTTCCTTGTAGATGCAGTTCCATTGAGGACAATCTGCTGAGTGTGGTTGGGCAGCCAACTGCAAACCCATCTGGTGCAGATGCTGCCTATCCCATATTGTTCTAGCTTTTCAGAGGTGGGTTTCAGCAGGTTCTGACCAGTTCTGGAGAACCGGTAGCGGAAATTTTGAGTAGTTTGGAGAACCGGTAATAAAAATTCTGATTAGCCCCTCCCCCATCTATTCTCTGCCTCCCAAGTCCCAGCTGATCGGGAGGAAATGGGGATTTTGCAGTAACCTTCCCCTGGATTGGGGAGGAAATGGAGATTTTACAGTATCCTTCCCCTGCCATGCCCACCAAGCCACACCCACCAAGCCATGTCACGCCCACCAAGCCCACAGAACCGGTAGTAAAAATTTTT